TATCGAGAGTTGAGTTTGTATCTAAGTGTGATTTTGCTTGGAATTGTTCAGTTACCTTCAATGTGAAGTTCATGTTGTATATATAGTGTTCCTTGCTTGCTTCTCAAGGTCGGTTCATGGAGTTTGGATGCTGCCAGGCGTTCTTTTTGCATTGCTCAAGGTGGGGGACCACCTGGTAGTTGTCATTGAATGCATATACTCATTGTAATCATGCTAATAACAAACCACATTTCTTTGATTCAACAACTTCCGTGATTCTAGGTGTAGGGGACCAGCTGAGGTAGCAACTTGCACATGCACACATTCACAACTTCCACGTTTCCTTGCGAGGTTTCCTCAGCTCGGTACCGCTGTGCCTCAGCTAGGCATCATTATGCCTTGTCTCGGCCTTTTACAGGATCATTCATGGAGATGGACTGATCCTATTTGGATATCTTTGTATGAGCTCAGCCTATTTTCTGTTCGGCCCATAGGTTCAGTCTCGCAGTTCGGCCCAGCCCAGCACTACGGCTGGACTAGCCTTTCCACTGCGGGTTTGGCCCAAGTGCTTGAGGACTTGGGTAGACTGTTGATTATGAAGTTGGGCTCAATTGGTTTGCCCATATACTCATCCAGTCCTCTTGGATTCGGACTTCAGCGGATTGGGCCGGCTCAAGGCTTGGACCCAAGCCATTTCACATTTAGCCCCTTCATTGGGCTATGAAAATTAGAAGAAAAGTGGACTAGTTAAGGATGAATTTGAATACAATTGTCCTATTCTTTTGCATCTTTTGGTTTAACTCCTAGAACTGGGCAATCGATACAAAATTTTCATTTGTGAGGAAGTTTGAGTCCTTTACGTTGTGTTTGGTTGGGAAATTTGGAAAGGCATTTGGAAACGGAAAGGGAAAAAATAGGTGAAATGTGAATAAAATATACCTTTATTTCACCTAGTTTCACGTACTGTTTCCCTTTTCCTTTCCAAATCTATTCCTAAATCCCTCAACCAAACACAGCATTAAGGAAAAGTTGGAACTTGCAAAGTAATTGGGCTATGGAAATTGGGAGAAAAGTGGACTAGTTAAGGATGAATTGGAATACAATTATATTGTTGTTTTGTATCTTTCTGTTTAACTCTTGGAACTGTGTTTGCACTGTGAAAAATGGAATTTGAAGCTCCACGTTGCAATGCATTGAACTATCATTATATTTTCATTTGTTTAATTTTGTAAAGATCCTTTTTGTTTCTCTTTTTAATTTTTAGTGTTTTGAGTTTTTATTTTCTTGTTTCTATGAAGAGAAAGATTTTAATTTTGGTGATATTGGTTGTCTAACATACAATTACTACTACAATAGTTGAATTATTCATTTCCCTACTGATGTTGAGTTTCATTGTAGCAACATAACTCAGTAAATATGTTTTTTCAGCAATTGGAGCGGATTCTTTGTGTTTCATTTACGCTATGTTTGGATTGAGTGATTTGGAGAGAAAATAAAAGAAATGAAGAGATATGCATTTCTCTTACTTGTTTGGATAACCTAAGTGGAAAGAAATGAAAAGAAATTGAGAGAAATGGAGAGAAACTCATTTCTCTTATAAGCCTCATTTTCAATCTTCCAAAAAGTGGAGAGATTGGGAGAGAAAAGAAATCACTATTTTTATAATACCAATTTTATCCCTATAAAAATAAAGAAATAAAATGATTGAAAATATAAAAAGGTTATTCTGGTAATATAATATAAAATAATTTCTTTTCTTTTCTCTTAATGAAATATGAGAGAAATCATAATCATTTCTTTTCTTTTATTTCTTCCTTATCCAAACATGTTAGAAATTGGGCGGCCATGTGGCATGACCCTTTGAACCTTATCCATGTAAGTTTGAATTTGAATTCAAAACTTACTTGGATAACCACTCAAGATATCCATATCTACCATATCAACTGATATGGATAGATGAGATATTATCCTATATATCTGATATGATATGGGATATGGGTGATTAAGAGAAAAACAACGGATCTCGTATGTTTTTCCCAGATACTGACTCTCTCCCAAAATACAACGATCAAGAGCCATTTTGCACTGTGACTTGTGTGGGTGATATTCATTCTGTAATATCACTCCATTGTTGGGTTGATTGATCAGATTCAGGAAGCACGTGATTTACCCACGAGATGCTTCAATTCAGACTCTGTAGAAAAAGGTATGACCATAATTTTTTATCCGCTGTGTTTACCTTAGATTTACATTGGTATCAGAGCGTAAATGGGTATTTTTGTATTTTCTCTAATCATGTGTATATTTTTTATATATATATGTACACATTATATACATGAATGTTTATAAAGGAGGAAAATTTCAACTCCCATTAGATTGAGAGTGTGGTACACCTCATTTTTATGTTCATTAAATGTGATTTTTGATGCCATAAATGTTTTTGTTGTGAAAAATTGAGTTTGGGAGTACCGAAATTGGACCAGAAAACACCCCGGAATGCGGCGGGTGTGCCTCACGCTCCAGATAACGTCGTCAGTGGCGGACACGCGCTATCACGCGCCTCCGCGCGCTCTCATGCGCTACCACGCGCGCGCCGGGCGCTGAGACACGCGCTGAGCCGCTCTCCGAGCCGAGCCGCGCCGCGTCGCGCCGTTTTTCGCGCCAGTTTAACTGGTTTGACGGCTGTGGTTAAGGGTCTGTTTGTTTTCTTTAAAATTCAAAATTACGTTAAATGGTTATAATTAATTCGTTATAGCTTTGTTTTAAGTGTGGTTGGTACCGTTCGACTCATAATTAAATTTTTTATCTTCTGTAAAATTTTGAAAATTTTATAAAAATAAAAAATATTTTTCCTGAAATAATAATTCATTATTTCTGGTTTAAAATGCATCTGGTGTTGCATGATTAAGTTTCTGGGGCTGAATTTTTTATTGTAGACTATTGTTGTAGTTTACTATTTACTGGTATAGTTATAGAATTTTACCAGATTTTAGAATATTTATTTCTAATTTTATGTGTGTTTATTAATTATTTAAAATTCCAGAAAATACCAGAAAATTCTAGAAAATTTCAGAAGTGATATAGTTTCTGTTATGGCATAATTTGAATATTAAATACAGTATATTGTTTTTTTTTGCCTAGAGTTTCTAATATGTTGTAATTAGAATAGCATGATTAATTGTTATTTGTTTAAATTTCATAATTAATTGTGACATAGCATGAGTTGGTTGTGAATCTACATTATGATGCTATTGTATGGAATTAGAGTTTTTTTATCATGCTTTTAGACATGCTATAGTCAGTGGGAGGTTAATTTTGGATAATTGTCACCTGTGACGCAAGAGATGATTACGAGCATAGCGAATTTTCGATCTTGCGACTTGTGTAATATTGTCACTATTTAATTTAGATTTTTGTGGCAAAATTATATTATGCTAATCAAATTAATCCCAATGCGAATTTCTCTCTAAATTGACTTAGCTTATGGAAGTTAATTGGTTGACCTAGACTTAGTAAAGATGTTCAAATGTGAACAATGTAATCCCATTCTTTAGATGAGCAAAAGTCTTGGAGACTTTAGGTCAAACCTTAATTGAGCCAAAGTAAGGAAACATGACTCAAAGTCGCCGTGGTTTTGTTGCCTTGTTTGGCATAATAAAAACTAATGTGTGCGCTATGGTTAGCGGCACACTACGTAGTTTTGGTTAGCGAGTTTTGGAGTTATGAAATTAGTAAGCCCTCAATAGATCTGTATATGATCTTGACTATTGAGCTGCGCGGATTGACTTTGTAATTTGACTTGTAAATAATGTTACATCATTGGATGAAGTAACATTCAAGAGTCACGTCATCCAAGAAATGCGAGCTTAAATAAATTAGTCATTAAATGTAAGACAAGTAGCCAGTATGAGCAGTGTTTTGCTCTCTACCCAATTATTGGGAGTTGATGGAGCAAAATTTCATGCACTATAATAATATGCGTTGAAATATCACGTGAAGTTAAAAGATTAGCGCTTAGAAGCTGCATAATCTATTAACACTAAGTGAAAAGATTAGTACCAAGTGGCTGCAAAATCTATTAGCATTGCCAACTTGTCTTAGTCTGGACACTTACTGTTTCCACACTTGAGTGTGAGACATGAGGAGGTGTTTCTTTGTATAATTTCTTAGCTAGGCTAATGTTTTGAATAACGTTAACCACTAAGCGCAAACGTTGCAGCATAGTAATGAAAAGGTAAAGGCCGACAAGGTTGTTATGACTCTAAGAATTTGACGCATCGCTTGTGAGAGCATTGTGTTGAATTAGACTCTTTAGCCTAATTCGCGCTTAAGTTAGTTCAGGAGCTGCCATAAATTGATAGCTTATTCTCTCCTTCTTGTGGATAGTAGAATTAATTGCAAATAACTGTGAAGCGAGAAACAGAGATAGCAAGAGGAGTATCGTCATCTTTTAATTAGATGCAGTAAAGTGTATGGAGAATAAAATTAACTTGAAAGTGCAGGGGATTAGCACTTCCTAGTTAAATTTGCGACTTAGGCGCACTTGGTATCTCCATGACATCCTTTTATGATCTAATGAACATGAATTAGTCATGAGTCATTACCTAGTTGGGCCTAAACCTTTAAACTTGTCTTCGAGAACTCACACATTAGGACGATTGGAATTAGTTTATGACATTGGATATAAACTGGTGGCTTGTTGTACTTAATCACATTAATGAGAAGATGACATGAATGGTTTGAGTAGGCCCTTTCAGGCCTACTCGCTTGTGACATCCTACTCTCATATGAATGTGTAACTTTGTTCGCAATGGTTGCGCACAAGTAAGTAGAAAAGCCGTAGAAGGTCATTTGTATTGGCATATTTAGTCCACTATAATATTTGTGACTAGATATGTATAAGGGTATGATAGCTAAACTTTAATCTCGACACATTTATAGATTACGATACGCATCTGAGTCAAGGCTATTTGATCTCCCATAAGTCAAAAGTTTTGAGATGATTTTTGACATTGCACACATACTTTATGGTGTTCGCAAACATAGCCTTGTGACTCCACCATTGATTTGCAAATACCATCACCGGCCACCAAGTTTGGATGCAGTTTTGTTCTTGCTCCATCTGCTGACAGACTCAATGGAATTACAAGAAGTAAAGTTAGTAGAGTGTTAGCCATTGACTGATATGTATTTTCTTATGTTGTTCCCACAACAAAAATCAATTGATTTTGTTGCATTTATAGCAGAAGAAATGCATATCAAAACAAACTATTGTATTAGAATAGTTTGAGCAAAGTCTCAATAGGGTCCCTGTCAGTATGATCTCTAAGATATCGTTGCAGCTACGACATTTAAATAATAAAAAAATGTTCTTAGTTTACATGTTCACACTTCACACTTCACACTGAGTGAAAAGAACATTGCATTTTGTTGGTGCATTTTAATATTAAAATGTGTATACATTATTTTTATGAGGAGCTTTCATACATATACTGTATACATACTCTTAAACTATGAATGTAACCATTCATGTTCCACTCATGGATTTTAATATATAAATCTTCATCAACTTCAACTATTACTCTAATTAATTAATGAACCACAGCTATTACCCATCTACCTTAGCTCCTAACATGCCAGACATTGTTGTGAATCATGGATAACTTTTCAGTGTTACATAGAAGAGTGGGCTGCTTTTTAGAATTTTTTTCTATAACAGTTTGCTAAACATTTTTTTTTTTAAAATAAAAAAAAAAACAAAAACAAAAACAAAAATGATACCAAACATTTACGTGCTAGTCTCATCTTGTAAGTACCTTGTTGCAAACATTTTTGCACCAGTGTGAACAACATAAATAACCATATCTTAGATATCGTTTTTTTTTTTCCCAATGCTTTGGAATTTAAAGATAATAGAGTTTTAAAAATTTGTTAGATATTGTACGTACCGGATTCCGCACTAGATGAAAGTGGATCGGGGCTTCGCACTCGGTTGGACTATCCAAGGACTGAGGTTCCTACCACAGGAAACACCGTTAGAGCTGCCCGGCCGGGGTTGGCCGGATAACCCCTCCGGTGTGGGAATTAGCAATCGGAGAAAAAATGTATCGAGAGTTGAGTTTGTATCTAAGTGTGATTTTGCTTGGAATTGTTCAGTTACCTTCAATGTGAAGTTCATGTTGTATATATAATGTTCCTTGCTTGCTTCTCAAGGTGGGTTCATGGAGTTTGGATGCTGCCAGGTGTCCTTTTTGCATTGCTCAAGGTGGGGGACCACCTGGTAGTTGTCATTGAATGCATATACTCATTGTAATCATGCTAATAACAAACCACATTTCTTTGATTCAACAACTTCCGTGATTCTAGGTGTAGGGGACCAGCTGAGGTGGCAACTTGCACATGCACACATTCACAACTTCCACGTTTCCTTGCGAGGTTTCCTCAGCTCGGTACTGCTGTGCCTCAGCTAGGCATCATTATGCCTTGTCTCGGCCTTTTACAGGATCATTCATGGAGATGGCCTTATCCTATTTGGATATCTTTGTATGAGCTCGGCCTATTTTCTGTTCGGCCCATAGGTTCAGTCTCGCAGCTCGGCCCAGCCCAGCACTACGGCTGGACTAGCTTTTCCACTGCGGGTTTGGCCCAAGTGCTTGAGGACTTGGGTAGACTGTTGATCATGAAGTTGGGCTCAATTGGTTTGCCCATATACTCATCCAGCCCACTTGGATTCGGACTTCAGTGGATTGGGCCGGCCCAAGGCTTGGACCCAAGCCATTTCACATTTAGCCCCTTCATTGGGCTATGAAAATTAGGAGAAAAGTGGACTAGTTAAGGATGAATTTGAATACAATTGTCCTGTTCTTTTGCATCTTTTGGTTTAACTTCTAGAACTGGGCAATCGATACAAAATTTTCATTTGCGAGGAAGTTTGAGTCCTTTACGCTGTGTTTGGTTGGGGAATTTGGAAAGGCGTTTGGAAACGGAAAGGGAAAAAATAGGTGAAATGTGAATAAAATATACCTTTATTTCACCTAGTTTCACGTACTGTTTCCCTTTTCCTTTCCAAATCTCTTCCTAAATCCCTCAACCAAACACAGCGTTAAGGAAAAGTTGGAACTTGCAAAGTAATTGGCTATGAAAATTGGGAGAAAAGTGGACTAGTTAAGGATGAATTGGAATACAATTATATTGTTGTTTTGTATCTTTCTGTTTAACTCTTGGAACTGTGCAATCAATCCAGAATTTTCATTTGTGAGGAAGTTTGAGTTTATGTTTGCACTGTGAAAAATGGAATTTGAAGCTCCACGTTGCAATGCATTGAACTATCATTATATTTTCATTTGTTTAATTTTGTAAAGATCCTTTTTGTTTCTTTTTTTAATTTTTAGTGTTTTGAGTTTTTATTTTCTTGTTTCTATGAAGAGAAAGATTTTAATTTTGGTGATATTGGTTGTCTAACATACAATTGCTACTACAATAGTTGAATTATTCATCTCCCTACTGATGTTGAGTTTCATTGTAGCAACATAACTCAGTAAATATGTTTTTTCAGCAATTGGAGTGGATTCTTTGTGTTTCATTTACGCTATGTTTGGATTGAGTGATTTGGAGAGAAAATAAAAGAAATGGAGAGATATGCATTTTTCTTACTTGTTTGGATAACCTAAGTGGAAAGAAATGAAAAGAAATTGAGAGAAATGGAGAGAAACTCATTTCTCTTATAAGCCTCATTTTCAATCTTCCAAAAAGTGGAGAGATTGTGAGAGAAAAGAAATCACTATTTTTATAATACCAATTTTATCCCTATAAAAATAAAAGAAATAAAATGATTGAAAATATAAAAAGGTTATTTTGGTAATATAATATAAAATAATTTCTTTTCTTTTCTCTTAATGAAATCTGAGAGAAATCATAATCATTTCTTTTCTTTTATTTCTTCCTTATCCAAACATGTTAGAAATTGGGCGGCCATGTGGCATGACCCTTTGAACCTTATCCATGTAAGTTTAAATTTGAATTCAAAACTTACTTGGATAATCACTCAAGATATCTATATCTATCATATCAACTGATATAGATAGATGAGATATTATCCTATATATCTGATATGATATGGGATATGGGTGATTAAGAGAAAAACAACGGATGTCGTATATTTTTCCCAGATACTGACTCTCTCCCAAAATACAACGATCAAAAGCCATTTTGCACTGTGACTTGTGTGGGTGATATTCATTCTGTAATATCACTCCATTGCTGGGTTGATTGATCAGATTCAGGAAGCACGTGATTTACCCACGAGGTCCTTCAATTCAGACTCTGCAGAAAAAGATATGACCATAATTTTTCATCCGTTGCGTTTACCTAAGATTTACACATCGATGCAAATGCGGGACAAACAACACTGGTGGCGGTCTCTCTCTCAAGATGACAAAGAAAAAGAGAGATTTTAAAAATATATTTATAAAGTCAGATTTTATTGTAGAGGTAAATCAGTCACAAAAAATTAAAAGAACATGGAACTTGGATGTTTTCTAAATTTTAAAAACAAAAGACGTAGTGTTTATTGTTCTATTTGCTGTGGCGGCCATCTTCTAAGTCCATATATGTTGTTAATTTCTTTGATATCGTGTTCAATTCATGTTTTTTGATTTTGGTTTTATAAACTCTAGGCACGGGGCAATTGATTGAAATTTCATTCGTAAGCAAGTTTGAGTAATCTTTTTCACCATATAAATTGGAATTTGAAGCTCCACATTGCGGTTCATTGAATTCTTCATCATTTTTTGTAATGGTTGTTGTGGCTTGATACAGTCTATTATCAATGTTCATTTGGGTTAGTTGATGAAGATTTTGTTTTTTCACTTTTTAATTTTCCTTCTGGTAGGTATGAAGTCGGAGGAGAGGAGAAGAAAATGTCAAATCTTTCAACTAAGGAAGTGATTATTCTCTACTCTTGCCCACTCACAGTGTCTAATGCATCATTCTCTGCTTAAGACCGTGTTTGGATTATATATTTAGATAGAAATATGAATAGAAAAAAAAAGAAAAAAATTAGAAAAATGTGAATAAAATATAAACAATATTTTTTCTCCACATTCCTGACATTTCCCTTTTGTTTTCCAAACCTCAACATAAATTGATAATCTAAATATAACCTATATTCTCCCGAAGCTCTCTAGGCCTTGGATTTAGGAACACGTGCCTGTTAAAGAACGAGCCAACGACTCATAGGTTGTGGCTTGGTTTAGGAAGGTGGAGTCGTAGCGAGTCTTCATAGACCAATTATGTGCGGGCAATTGTCTATAAACAAAATCTATCCCTCTGGGAAATGTTCATATTGTTGAGGAACGGGGAGAATTTCAATCAAAACGAGCACTGGTTAGTTTTTTATTTGTATTTTATTTATTTTTAGAGTGTTTGATATAGTTTTTACTTATACTTTAAATAAATTAAAAAAACAATTATTTGGTTGCAGGTATTGATGAGATTATATAATGATTTCTCTTTTTGTTTAGTTTGTATTTATTTGTTTAGTTTGTATTTTATTTGTTTTGGTTTTGATTTGATGAGATTATATAATGATTTATCTTTTTGTTGGTATGAATTTTGACAACCTCTTTGTAGTGTATTAAATTCATTTTTTTAATTATTTTTTGATTTTTAAACTGTAAAAATAAATTCAGGCATATTGCTTCAAAACACTATTTTGAATATTTTTCTTTTTCTTTCTTTCTTTCTTTCTTTTTTTTTTTAAAAAGAAAAAAAAAACACCCCATCATTAGAAAAACATGACTTCAATTTGTTTTAAAAAATACAAAAAATAAAATACAATATATATTTCGTGTAGTTTTTATTTGCATCAGACATAGTTCACACTAACACTCGACAATGTTTATAGCTGTGGGATACAATAGGGAGAGACTAGATGCGGGTGATTAGGGTATCGAACGAGGAGATTGCAGAGTAAGTATGGGAATGGTGGAGTTACAGGGGATGGTAAGAAATATAATGCATGGTAAGAGTATCATTGTCTGCAGAGAGGAGGGTAGAAAGTGAACCAGAGGTGCCAGCAAAAGGGTGGAAGAAGGGAAAATAGTGATTTGTAGCGAGTAACACATGGCTGGCTCAAGACAGATTAAGATCTAAAATAACAAATTAAAATGAGACCTTTTATAATTTTTATATGTTATTATAAAAAAGATTATTTAAAAGTTATTTTTCTAAGATTTTGATATACATAATCACTAATTAAATTTTCATAGTATCAAGTTTTGTTAATATATATTTTTTGAGTTAATAGTATAGTTTATCCACTTGATCTCTTTTATGCCATTTTGTTAACAATCCATGTATTTGGAAATGACTAAACTTTTTTTTTTTTAAACATAGTTTAATACTTCATTAATTCTAAAAATTCTTGAAAAACTATATTGTTTTATTATCAAATTTCTCATCAATTTATAAAAAATATCACATCAAAGAATAAGAAATGTTTATAAAATTTGTTAGTTTATATATCATTACCCATATTAGAGATTTATTTCAGATGAGTTAAAAAAAAACAGTAAAAAAATTTATTTATATAATATTACTTATTTGAAATAACAAGTTTAGGCATTCTTCATTAATAGGTGGAGCATTTTTAAAATAAAAAAATGATAAAATTATATAAACCTTAACTATAATATTTGAATATTTGAAAATTTGAGTAACAGGGCTTTTTGGCTTTTTGGCTTTTTTGGCTTTTTTTGTGAGAGAGGATTGTAATGATTATGGGTTGAATTTGATGTTTTGTTTTTTGTGGCTAAAATAGCCTATTTTGTTTTTTGTGACTATTTTAGCCCCAAACCAAGTTCCCAAACAATGCCTTAATAGGTGGAGCATTTTTAAAATAAAAAAATGATAAAATTATATAAACCTTAACTATAATATTTGAATATTTGAAAATTTGAGTAACATTTGTGGCCTAAAGCATGGCTTTGGTGGCCAAAAGCAACACATAATTAAAAAAAGGAAGAGAGCGAAAATAAAGATAAATGATGCTATAAAAGTTAAGAGTAATATTAGAGATTTATACATTTGATTTACAATGATGTATCCAAACACATCAAATATTGATATTTATTTTGACATATCATTAGGGTTAGAATTATGAAAGTTTTTTTTGAGCATCTCAAATATTTTTCAAAAGTTAACTTCAAGACTTTAATTTATTCATTTTTCCTATTCCACATGTGTTGAATTTTTTAAAGTTTTTTTTGTGGTTTATTTTGGCTATGTTTGGTTTAGTTTTAGAATTATGATTTGAGTGTAGAGTTGTGATTTAAGTGTGGAATTGTGAGTTGAGAAAATTTGTTTGGTTATGAGTTTTAAAAAGAGTTTTGAAAAGAATTTTTGAATTTTTAATTTTGAAATGAGTTTTGAATTTTAAGTTGTATTTTAATTTTTTTAGATTTATTTTTTTAAATATTTAAAAATGTTTAATTTTATTTATTTTAATTTTAGATATATAATTTTTATTTAAATATATATTTTTTAATATTTTAAATTCAAAATACAGCTCCACACTCAAATTGTAAACAAATACATAACTCAAAACTAAATTCAAAAATTATTTTCAAAACTAATAACCAAACACTTAACTCAAAACTCCACATTACTTTCAAAATTCCATACTTAAATCGTAACTAAATACATAATTAAAAAATTAAAATATTTAAAAATATATTTACAAAATAAAATTATATATTTAAATAAGAATAATTTTTTTAAATTTTTTAATATTAAAAAACATATTTAAAATATTTTAAAAAAATATAGCACACAAAATGTGTGAAATACAGTGCACATTAAAATAAAAAATATTTATCCTAAAAAAATAAAATTAAGAATTTTTTAAAATATTTTAAAAAATAAATCTATTTTTTTTTTCAAAATACAACTCAGAACTGTTTTCAAAACTCATAACTAAACAATTTTTCTTTTTTCAAAACTAAATTCAAAATTCAAAGTACAACTCTATACTCAAATCATGATTTTAAAAAATAAAATAATTTTTTTTTGATTTTTTTAAAAAACAAATAGAGTTTTGAAAATAGTTTGATTTTGAGTTTTGAATTGTGCGTTAAGTTATGAGTTTTAAAAATAATTTTTAAATTGAGTTGGTTATATTTTTAAATTGTACGTAGATTAGGAATTTTTAAAAAATGTTCAAATTTTTTACTAGAACCACAATTCAAACTGGTTGTTTTTCAAAACAGCAAAAAACAAGTTTTAAAAAAAGAAATCATGAAAAACGCTTTGGATGCTTCGGCTTTGTTTTAAGTTTCGCGGTTATGCCCAAATTTCCTCACTCTCTCTCTCTCTCTCTCTCTCTAATTTTCCGTAGTCATCTTCGTCTTGGCGATCATCAATTTTACTCCTACGCTTCAATTCTTCGCTCGATTTTGATTGGTTACTGTCACATCCAATGGTTTGAACTCGAAACAGTTTTGGATCGGTAACAACTCATTTTGCTGATCTCGCTTTTCTGATCATTCCGTTTCAGCTGTTTTAGGGTTTTGACAATGAATTTGAACTCTTCTGATCACAATGTCTTTTTAAATTTCACATCCTCATTTCTACTTCATTTCAATTTTCATTCTGATTTCCGAGTTTTCAATCAGCAATTAATTGCTTTACTTGTATGTTTTGTATTGATTGCATGTACGTGGTAATTTGTTTTGATATGTTTGTTTGGACCTCAATGAAGTGTTTTGCGGGGATCAGCTGAAATCTTGAACTTTAATTTTGAAAATTTTAATGAATTTCACTTTTAAAAAATAAAATAAAATTATCGATTTTTTTTATTATTTCAGTTTACAATTGTGTATTTGAAATATTTGATGAGTCCAAATCACGATGCTTTTGCACGGTTAAGTTTCTGGATTCAGAGCGGTGGGTAGAGAATTTTGTTTTGTTTTTTTTCTCCCAGCTTTGAGAGTTTGTGCCCTTTCTTTAAATAATGGGTTTGGAGCTTTAGCCACTAAAAAAATGGTATACTTGTGCTTTATTAATGACAATCTTTTGGGGAACAATGCAATTGATGGATCGAATAGTAAACTTTATTGGGTATGTATGATTGTGGTGTTTTATTTTGAATACGAGTACAATATTTTCTGTTTTGTTTGGCCTGGCTGTAGCGCAGTGTCTTTCGATTGTTGGAAACGATATGCAAATAATATAATTTTCAACAACAATGACTAAAACGATTTGTTGAAATTTTAGAACAAAAAAAATATAGATTACAACATATAAAATTGAAGTGTATGAGTATACGAAGTGGGAAAATTGATATAATAAAGTATATATAATAAACCAAAGTTGCCAAGAAAATTGATATAATAAAGTTGCCAAGAAAATTGATATAATAAAGTATATATGTGAAGCTCTCATAGTGTTTGGATAGATTAAGGCCAAGTTTGGGTAGTTTAAAAAAAGCCAAAAAGTCAAAAAGTTACTCTAAAAGTTAAAAAGTCATCACTATTCATCAAAAGTCAACAATTACGGCTGCACAATTCCCAATTCTAATTTTCCCCTACAAACTAATTTTTACAATTTTTTATTACGCTTTTTTCCATAAAAAGTCAAAAAGTTAACCCAAACATTCATATTTTCAACCTCAACTTTTTAGTCTAAAAAGATAAAAAGTGCACTTATTTAGTCTTCCCAAACTTGGCCTAAGTTTGGAAGACTCTTAGCTATAGAATATGAATCCCAATCACTAGACACTAGTATGTATAGAGAATTTTGTAACAGCCAGAATTGAAAACCAATTAAACATACATATAAATTTTAATAAAGTTAAAAGAGTGTTTAGTTGAGGTGCAAGCAAGTAGGCCTGTTCACCCAATTATAAAAAAAAAAAAAAAGTTAAAAAAGTATTGTTTAATTTCTTTCATTTGTTGTCCATCACAAATTATTGGGTTCTAGATTTTTGTTTGGCTTACTTTGCACTCTGTAAATTTATTTGTTACACATGTTTTGCCTCTTGGTGTGTCTCAGGTGATTAAGGGATTGATTCAATCATGGCTCCTACAAGAAAATCTAGAAGTGTGAATAAGCATTTTTCTTATGTTAATGAGGTTTCTCCTAGTAAAGATGGGGAGGATTCTAAGAAAAGCATGCAACGGGTGAGTTTTGTCTTTGTTCACAAGATATTGATAATCTAAATAGTCACAATGAATGAACTCGTGGTGTTTCTAATGCCAAGTTGTAATTTACATTAGTGGTGTCTCAAACTTTTTTCCGCATTCTTGGCTGTGATATGACATCCAAGTTGTAAGGATCGTAATCTTGGCAATGATATAATATATAATCTTTCAGTACATAGTGAAGTTTCATGTATAAATTGTCTATGGATGTAAGTCAGATAATCACCTTCTAGATAGGTGCATTGCTGCTAGTGCTTTGAGTGCATTGAGCTATTGCTGCTTCCTCTTTCATTGTAACACTTTGGGCAGATATTCTGGGTAGCTCCTTTCACTCTCTAGTCTATACCATTGGCAGATGAGAGAATGTCAATTAGGAATGTAAGAACACGACAATTAATTGCAGTCTTGTGGATAATGGATATCAGGGTTTCTCTTGTTGCTATAGCTACAGGATATGGATCAACAGGATCTGACTTGTTCTGGAAATGAATCAAACTGTTTCTTACGTTTGTGTTTTAATATTCAAGATTCCCCATAATATTCATCTATGGCGTGCTTTATTAAGTCACTTGTGTAGTGATGATCGGTTAAATTGGTAAACAATGAGGCTGGTATAACTGTCCAAAAAGACACAATTTGATTCAAAGGATATTTCATATTGTTCTTGAATTACCAATAATCTTCAAAGGATTCTGATATCTTTTGTCGAATTTGGAATTTTTTATTAGCTCTCCTTACATAGGTGTGGCAGTTCCTACCTAACTCCGAAAAATATTTTGGTCTGTTCAGTGTGCCGTGTTTGTGATGCGCTATTCTAGGAATGATAGTTTACTTGTCAGTGCATGTGTGGTTTATCCATTTTTCAGTTGCATTGATGTTCTGCTATGTTTTTGTCAATATTTGGAATAAAATAATAGGGTTGTATTTTTTTGGCATTGCATTACATTAATTAACCAAACCAGCGACAATACTTGGCCTTTGCAACTATTCTTAAAATGATAACATTATCCTATTCTTTGCAGAAGAGAAAGCTGTCTGACATGTTAGGGTCACAATGGAGCAAGGACGAGCTGGAGTGTTTTTATGAAGCGTATCGCAAACATGGGAAGGATTGGAAAAAGGTTGGTTTAAATGTATATTGAAGGTCCAGCATACTTAAGTGGTTATAAGAGATCAAATGCTGTTACTTTTGTATGACGTTCTTTCCATCAACAATGTGACTATTTCCTTACAAGTGCTGTTATTTAAGTTCTTTGTGATTCTTTGGGAAGAATTCTGCGACTTCATTTGTACACTGGCATCAATTCTGCTACTGTTGCTGAATGATCAGTTATCATTTTGAGGTCTTCTGATTTTTGTTTCCCGTGGATTTTAAGGTGGCTGCTGTTCTGAGGAACAGATCTGTGTCAATGGTGGAGGCCCTTTACACCATGAATAGGGTAAGTACATCTTTTCTAGTCCATGTCCTATCTCATGGCCCAAATCCATAAATGATGCATGCATCTTTTCTGTGTTTGGTGATGCTTTAGTTTTGCAGTATATATGATGTTAATCTTGGAACTTTTTGTTGAATATTACCATGATAAATGTTTTGAATAATTTCTCCCACATGCAGCAGTAATTTCAACTGTATGGCCACTGAGGGGTTTGTTTTGTTCTGGCAATATTAAGCTAGTGCGCTTCACATTACAGCCATAACTTGTGAAAGAACTGAAAACCAATTTATGATATGCCCTAGTCGGTAACTTAAAGTTATAACCTAGTGGATACATGCAGAATTATCTCAGAGTTGGCATACTTTGAACTTCCATTTTCAATAAATCCAAATTAGCTCCGCTTCAGATTTGGGTACATTTGAGGTTGGTTGACTGAGTTTATTAACAACATATGCTACTGGTTTGTCAATAAGCAAGTTCAGAGGTTGAAATTGTGAGTTTTTTTTGAATGATTTTTGTATATTCAATTGTGTTTTTGATACAAGAATACATCAGTATATATAACAATCCAAACCCTAGAACTAAAAAAGGAAACAAAATTATATGCTCAATCCCTAATATATACATAATATATATACTACCATATATACATAAACCTAATATTCTCATACCTCCGCTTAAACTCAAGGTGTTGTAGTAGAAAACATTGAGAGTTTGTCAAGAAGAAATTGAAACTGAGCAGTGGTGTGAGTTTCGGTAAAGAAGTCAGCGAGTTGCAGAGTCGAAGAGACGAAAGGAAGCGAGGTAGGGCCAGACTGCAGATGTTGACGGACAAAGTGACAATCAATTTCAGTGTGCTTTGTCCGCTCATGGAAGACAGTGTTATGGGCAATCGGAATAGCACTGCGGTTGGCACAATAGAGGAAGGTCGGAGAAGACTGAGGGACACCCAAATCAAATAAGAGACAACGATGCCAAACAATCTCAGCAGTAGCATGAGCCATAGCATGATACTTAGCTTTGGTAGTGGAGTGAGCAACAATAGTTTGTTTCTTGTTTTTTCAACAGATCAAGGAATCTCCAAGAAACATACAGAAACCAGATGTGGACTTGCGATTGATGACATTGTAAGTTTCTGAAGAATTTTTGTATATTCAAATTGTGTATCAATTACATCAAGACTAGTTTAGATAACCCTAACGACTAACCAAAAAGGAAATACAAGAATAGGACCAAAAAAGAAAATACAGTCATTACAAACATGCCTAATATATACAATGCCTAATATATACGAATGTATTCTCACACCCCCACTCAAACTTAAGGTGTTTTAGCTGAAAACACAGAGAGTTGTCAAGAAGAAACCGAAAACAAGCAGTGGTGTGAGTCTTGGTGAAGAAGTCAGCAAGTTGTAAAAGGAAGCGAGATAGAGCCAGACTGTAAGTGCTGACGGATGAAGTGACAATCAATCTTAATGTGCTTCGTTCATTCGTGGAAAACAGTGTCGTTGGCAATTTGAATAGCACTTTGGTTGTCACAGTAGAGAGAGGTTAGAGAGGACTGAGGAACGCCTAAGTTAGAGAGGAGACAACGAAGCTAGACAACTTCAGCAGTAGTATGAGCCATAGCATGGTACTTAGCTTTGGCAGTAGAATGGGCAACAACGGTTTGTTTCTTACTTTTTCAAGAAATTAAGGAATCACCAAGAAACAGACAGAAACCAAAAGTAGACTTAGGATCAGTTACATCACCAGCCCAATCAACATCGGCATAAGCCACCAAAGCCAAAGAAGAAGTAGAAGACAACAAGCAGCCTTGGAAGATAGTACCTGCGAAGATAGCGAAGAATCCGAACCAAAGTAGCCCAATGCGGAGAGCGGGGAGTAGAAACGAACTGGCTAACCACATGAACAACATAGGCAAGATTAGGGCGAGTAACTGTTAGATAGACTAAGCAGTCCACAAGCTCGCGATACAAAGTAGGACCATCCAGGGGGACATCATCAGTAGTGCTAAGCTTCACATTAAGCTCAATGGGAGTATCAGAAATCTTAGTGTTAGTAAGACGGGCACGGTGAATAACCTCATTGGCATATTTGGCCCGAGACAGAAAGTAGTCTTTGGGAGAAGAAGCAACTTCAATACCAAGAATATACCGCAAGGGTCCTAGATCCTTCATTTCGAAGGTGCGGAAGAGATGTTGCTTGATCTCAGAGATAGCAGAAGAGTCAGAGCTAGTGATAATCATATCATCCACATAGAGTAGAAGAGCAACAAAACCAGTCAAGGTATGTCTTAGAAACAAAGCAGAGTTGGAAGCAGAAGGATGAAAACCAAGCTCGGTAATAGCAGTCTGAACGCGATCATACCAAGCACGAGGAGACTGCTTTAGACCATACAGAGTATGCCGAAGGCGACAAACCTGTCCAGAGGAATGGTGAAGGCTAGGGGGAGGACGCATGTAAACCTCCTCAGTGAGATGACCATTAAGAAAAGCATTCTTAACATTCATTTGATAAAGAGACCAAGAATGAATAGTAACGACAGAGATCGAAGTACGGGCAGTAGTCATCTTGGCAACAGGAGCGAATGTCTCCTTATAATCAATACCATACTTCTGGGAGAAACCTTTGGCAACTAGACGAGTTTTGTGGCGCTCAAGAGAACCATCAGAATGAGTCTTGACTTTGTAGACCCATTTGCAACCAATCAGATTCTTACTAGCAGGCAAATGAACCAACTTCCAAATACGAGTTTTCTGTAAAGCAGACAACTCATCCTCCATAGCTTCAACCCAATGAGGATCCTGGCAGGCCTCGTTGTAAGATTGAGGTTCTGAAAAAGAGGGAATAGCAGACAAAAAATATACGATAAGAAGCAGAAAAACATGTATTACACCAACCCAACTTGTTTGGAGGACGACGCTCACGAGGAGGATAGCGGTGTGCAGCAGGATCAGAGTTGTCAGAAGCAGAAGGAGCAGCAATAGGAGTATAGACAACTGGTGGTGGGGCAGCCTTGCGATGAGAATAGACCAACAACGGAGGGGAAGAAGCAGCCGAAGGAGGAGAAGGAGCCATAAGTGACGTAGATGGAGAAGTAGGAATGACCTCAGGAAAAACAGTGGCGATATACTCATCGATGGGACCTCAAAAAGAAATGGGTTATGTCCAGAGGAATGGTGAAGGCTAGGGGGAGGACGCATGTAAACCTCCTCAGTGAGATGACCATTAAGAAAAGCATTCTTAACATTCATTTGATAAAGAGACCAAGAATGAATAGTAACGATAGAGATCGAAGTACGGACAGTAGTCATCTTGGCAACAGGAGCGAATGTCTCCTTATAATCAATACCATACTTCTGGGAGAAACCTTTGGCAACTAGACGAGTTTTGTAGTGCTCAAGAGAACCATCAAAATGAGTCTTGACTTTGTAGATTCATTTGCAACCAATCAGATTTTTACCAGCAGGCAAATGAACCAACTTCCAAATACGAGTTTTCTGTAAAGCAGACAACTCATCCTCCATAGCTTCAACCCAATGAGGATCCTGGCAGGCCTCGTTGTAAGATTGAGGTTCTGAAAAAGAGGGAATAGCAGACAAAAAATATACGATAAGAAGCAGAAAAACATGTATTACACCAACCCAACTTGTTTGGAGGACGACGCTCACGAGGAGGATAGCGGTGTGCAGCAGGATCAGAGTTGTCAGAAGCAGAAGGAGCAGCAATAGGAGTAGAGACAACTGGTGGTGGGGCAGCCTTGCGATGAGAATAGACCAACAACGGAGGGAAAGAAGTAGCCGAAGGAGAAGAAGGAGCCATAAGTGACGTAGACGGAGAAGTAGGAATGACCTCAGGAAAAACAGTGGCGATATACTCATCGATGGGACCTCAAAAAGAAATGGGTTAATGTGAACCAAATCCTCTTTGGAAACGGGAGCAATGAGAGGGGGAAGCTGAAAGTAAGACAGACGTTCGAGAAAGGCAACATGATGGGAGACATAGAGGCGACGAGAGTCATGGTCGTAATAGCGGTAGCCTTTCTGAGTAAGATTGTAGCCTAAAAAGACACACAAGACAGATCGGACACTGAGTTTGGTCCGATCCTTATGGGGAAGGAGGACAAAACAAGCGGACCCAAACACACGAAGAAGGGAGCAGTTAGGAATTAGGGAGAACAAAGCCTCATAAGGAGACCGACCAGAAAGAAAGGGAGTAGGCATGCGGTTGAGAAGAAAAGCAGCAATAAGAACTGCCTCTTCTCAGAATGGAGTCGGAACTGAGGCAGAGAGAAGAAGAGAGCTAACTGTCTTAAGGAGATGACGGTGTTTACGCTCGGCTCGACCATTTTAGGCAGGTGTATTTGTATAGAAAGTTTGATGAATGGTACCCAAATTGGCCAAATACTTACAAAATTTATTTTTAAAATATTCCCCACCCAAGTCAGACCGTAACACTTTAATGGTAGACCCAAACAGAGTAGTAATCATAGACTGAAGGGTACAGTATATCTGATAAAAATTGGACTTATGAGTCATAAGATAAACCCAAGTGTAACGGGTGCAATCATCAACAAATGACACATAGTATGCAAAACCTCCCTTAGTGAGAACAGGAGAAGGTCCCTAGATATTAATATGAACTAAAGAAAACGGTGTAGCAGATATAGAAGTACTGTTACGGAAAGATAAAGCTGTCATTTTGGCAAGTTTACACCCTCGACACTCGGTAAGTTGACTAGGAGAAACTTTACCCAATATACCTGACTGAGCTAAAGATCGTAAGTGGTTAGCAGACAAATGCCTTAATCTGGAATGCCACAAATAGAAAGGACTGGACAGAGAATCTAACTGAAAAGAAGAATAGGCAATCGGAGAGGTAGTCATAGGCAGATGCAAGCTCTCCACCACATAGAGGTCTCTAATTCTACGGCCAGTCCCAATCTGCTGTTTGGACATCTGATCCTGCACAGAACATACAGAAGAAGAAAAGATAACATCA